CAAAATTGTAGTGAAATTGTCGTGCATTTGGGAGGAGAGAACACGTTTCGAATAAAGTACTCAATTATTATAGTTAAATGTTTTTCTTTTCAGTTTAGGCACAATATAGCAGTTAAAGCGCCCGTATATATAATTTTCAACATTTCGTTTTACTCAATACAATAATACCATAATATGATGTGTATTGAAAAATACATATACAAACACATTGCAAATCATCTATGCTATTTAGTTTGGTTTATTTTATTTCTCTCTCTCTCTCTCTCTCTCTCCCCCATTGACTCTCACTATGAGATTCTTGTAACTATTGTTATGCATTTTGAACGCCTATTGTTTAGTCTGGCTGTCAGTCCACTCCCACTCTTATTATACAATTGAGTCTCAGATTTTAATTGTGAATCGAAATGATATATGGCTTTAGGCTTACTATTTGTCATTGTATTGAATACCAGAATCTGAAACATAAAAAACAAATGTTTTATTTACTTTTGACAATACATTCAAAATAAACATCAGTTTTAGTTCATTAAAGCCGTGATTAACGCACAGAATGTTTATATACAGCACTATATTCTGTATATTCTTTAGGCGTAAAACTTATGTAAATGTCATTCAAACAAATATAAAGTAAAAAATTGATTTCTAAACATAAATTAATGTCTCGATTACCGGTATATTAATGACTATACCTTTACAGACGTTTACAATCAATATTTGTGTTGAAATATTTTCAGACATTTGATTGCAAAATGAATTGAATCTATAATAATGTGTCAAACTGTCTGTCCGTCTGTTTATATCTAATCATCTATTAATGATAGATATAGTGAGGAAGCGATGGGAAGGGAATTGAATTTGTAATTAATTGCAAATATCTATTATATATTGTTTTTGTTATCATTAATTTCCAGTCAATTATTTGATTGATAGTTGTTTTGTCTAAAAATCATTTGTCGCTCAGAAACTTATTTAATAAAACAAACAAAAACTTTTATTTGTTATTTGTTTCATTATTTTCAATATTACTTATTCCTTCGCCACTGTTAACAATATTTGTATAGCACTTCAATAGTATATTCAATATGTGTTTAATTTATATGTCTGGCTATTATAGACGACAAACTATGTCTTTTATTATTATTAATATTATTATATAATATTAAAGCATATTATATATGATTAAAACGAGATATGAAGAGTCAAACGACTAAAACGTGTTATTAGTTTGTGCTGTAAAACACCAGAGCCTAAGCATAAGAGCCTCTGATGTCTCGACATATGATTACATTTTTTGTATAACAATAGGATTTCTTTTGCTTTTTTATATCAAAACCCTTTAAACTGAAAACACAATTGTGTCTGAAGTCTGAAATACACAACACATCTCACTGTATATCTCTATCTCATCCAAAAGTCTGAGTGTTTTCTCGTGTGATATACACAATACAGACACAGAATATATAACTAATGCTATATTTTTTTGACGGATATTATATTGAAATTTTAAATCACAAAATTGAGATAAACTGTATATCATTAGAGTGTCTGCGAGAGAGAGAGAGAGAGAGAGAGAGAGAGAGAGAGAGAGAGAGATCGACAAAACTAGCTTTGATGCTGATCTGATGTTGCAATCCGTTGCCCAATCTCTCTCTCTCTCTCGTCATATATAATAGTTGTGCTAAAATAGGCGTAAATATGACATCAGGCCATAACATAGCGCCGATTCTGCGGGCGTTGATTGTATCGGCAAATTCTGTGCAGATTTTCATTTAAAAATATAAATACTGTCGACACATATGGTGTTCACTCAATGCTCACCACTTTTTTCTATGAATGTCTGTGTTTTTACATTTGCTGTCATTTTTGTGCCATTCTTTGCATTTCATTATCATCTCATACTATGAGTTAATTTTTACCCTAAAAAACAATCCCAAAAATGCTGACAATTATACGCGACGATCGCTATTCTCGCTTCAAAATACACATTATTTGATTAAACAAACGTATTGTTAGTTTGAAAAGTTATAGTATGTCTCTTATAGGCAAATGCTAACTACGATAACATAAAGTGAACTGTAATTTTTGCTTTTGTATTAAAAATTATTCTACAAATTATACAAATTTTAGGCAAACGTTTATAATAACAATTTATTCGCAAATTTATAGCATTTAATGCTAATTCAAAGCCATTGTCAATGCGATGTCTATGCCATACATTCTGTGCCCAATATATCGATCCAACCTTTTTTGCAGACAATTTCTAAATAATAGATAACTTAATGGAGAGATTATAATACAGACCAGAATTTCAATATATATTTATACAAAAATTATATCAGAATATCTAATATCCGTTCTTAACGTAATATTAATCTATTGAATAATACCTTAATTTTATTGATCTATGCTTAGCTCTCTCTCTCTCTCTCTCTCTCTCTCTCTCGTGTCAACGTTCACAATATACTATTCATTCAATTGTCTGGGAATTTAGGCATAAAGTGTACAGAAAAATATTAATATTGATAGAGAATGAGAATAAACAGGCCATACATGTCAGACATTAGGCACAGGGCGTACGCCCCGGGGGTACAAATGGTCGGTTAGCAGGTTATTAGACAATGCCTTTAGTAATACTTTATGCATATTAGCGCACAAAACAATGACCAGTCATATACTGCTCAAGCGATTCATAGCCCGACATAAATGTATATATAATTTGCAGTTAAAGAGCTCTGTATTACACAATAAGTCTGTAATAATCGTAAACTTATTATTATGTCTTGTTTTTTATATGTCTGACAATATATTAGTCTTATAACTACTCGCGACTCTTCGCGGGAAACAACTTTCACAGATTCAGCTCAAGTATTGTAACACTGAAGATGTTTTTCACATCAACTCTCTCTCTCTCTCTCTCTCTCTCTCTCTCTCTCTCCAGGTCTGTCTGAAACATATATAATTAAATGTGTGCCTAAATTGGCTTAACATTGAATGATAGGTTGAGCTAACCCTCGATTACCGGGATATTAATGACTTTACAGACGTTTATAATCAATATTTGTGTTGAAATATTTTCAGACATTTAATTACGAAATGAATTGAATCTATAATAATGTGTCAAACTGTCTGTCCGTCTGTTTATATCTAATCATCTATTAATGATAGATATAGTGAGGAAGCGATGGGAAGGGAATTGAATTTGTAATTAATTGCAAATAATTTGTATTGAAATATTTTCAGACATTTGATTGCAAAATGAATTGAATCTATAATAATGTGTCAAACTGTCTGTCCGTCTGTTTATATCTAATCATCTATTAATGATAGATATAGTGAGGAAGCGATGGGAAGGGAATTGAATTGTAATTAATTGCAAATATCTATTATATATTGTTTTTGTTATCATTAATTTCCAGTCAATTATTTGATTGATAGTTGTTTTGTCTAAAAATCATTACAGCGAAGCCTCCGCCGGCCGATTACCACCAAACAGGGCCTCGTAATCGTGTCCGCGAAGCGATATGGAACGGACTCAAAGAGTACGCTTCTGGACCACTCAATCCATTCAATTCAAACATTGCCAATCCGTTGGTGGACGCGACGGCCGCTCGATTCGGGACCCGCCCTCCACTTTAGACGTTGAGCTCATCAAACTAGAGTGAAATACAGCACAACAACAGCCCCTCTATCTCTCCCCATAACCCCTTCCCGTCCATTAAAATTAATTATAATAATAATTACCCGATATTTGTCCCAAAATTTTATTCCCTATAAATTGCAATTTAAAACAAATGAACACAACTAATGAAAACCCAAAAATGTTTTACTATATAATGTTTACACGAAATCTAAATTTTTGATTTGATTTTTATGAATGTATTTTTTAATTGATTTATAATCTCCAGTAGTGTTTGCTTTGTGTCTGAGATTTTTCTCATTGAAAGTCTCCGTTGGAAAATCCGTGTATAAGTTTTACCACAATTTATTACACAACACAACACTATTGTATACATTGGTTAACGAAAAAATAATAATAAATGTGTAGACAATTAATGAGCCGTTAATTTGTTTCTGTTTTACTTTTTATGTTGCAATTAATTATTTATAATACTACTGATAATCGTTAATATTTGATCCTTTTTATGATGATTACTATTTTCGTAGAGATTGATAATCGATTGGATTATAAATTATTGTAATCCGTTGGTTTGTAAACAGTTAATAAAAATGTACACAATTTAAATAAGAATTAGAACAATATCTTTATTGAAACAAATTATTACAACTAATTAGAAGCGATTTTCTTCTCAATATTCATCGCCAATACTTGTGTCCGAATAGCCATCGCTTTGGTCTTCTCAATAAGTTGTTGATATTGAGAGACGGCTTGAGTTCCCATCACTACGTGACCAAACTTGGAGTCAATCTTCGCGTCCAACTGTGCGTTTCGGATCAGATTCACGATCCAGCGCTCGGCCTCTTCGCTATTCATATTCAGTTTGTCGGCTAACATACTGTTGAGTCAAATGAGACAATCATTGCGTTAAATGGGAGACAACATAAGGGGAATGCAGTCAAACACTGGACACATACCTAATGGAAATGCATTCGTGAATCTGACAGAAGGTCTCGAATATGAAGAGTCGGGCGTTTTCTATGAAGTCATCCAAACACGCGACCAGAAAGAAGTCGTTGTCCAACACTATCTCACACTCGCGGAGCTTCTTCTGCGCGCCATCGAAGTCGAAGTTAACGTACAGACACTCGACAAACTCAGTGATCGGATCCCTATAGGTGTACGACTCCTGTTGTATCACCCGAACCAAGTCCTTCATATACTGACGGCGCTGGCGGTGAGTGATCACAGCAGTGGTCAGATAGCGTAGAATATGGGGACACATGGTCTGAATGGCGTTCAAATAGGGCTGTTGTTTGATGTACTGTCCCTTCTTCTCGAGGAACATCTCGATGAGTAGTTCCCTTCCCTGCGGGTGATTGAAGAACACGAATAGACTCCAATGGATAAGCCATGTCCTCTGTTGCAGCGCCTGCAGCGACGAGGGGAACGACGCCGTGTCGATGAACTCCTTGAGTCGTGTCAAGTCCTCCAGAGCTCTCTCCCACTGTTGCATCAGTATCTCTGACGCCAATTTGCCCCACAAGTCGTTCAGATAGTTCTTGTCGTTGAATGGGATCAGCATTCGATGTGAGGACAGGTATTCGGCGGCTCCCGAATAGTTGCCGCACTCGTAGTGAAATTTGGCCAAATTGTACAAATAGGTCAACATTTCCGGCTTAAACTGCAGAATAGACACAAAGGGTTAGTCAATCAATAGGTTCTGGTGTCGGCTATAAAGCCATTGGGCGGCCAAAGAGGCCAATAGGAGTCGGGAACCGATAGCTTACATCGTATTTTGTTTGCAAGAGTTCAAAGAGTTGGCGACTGTCGCGAGACTTCTCAATCTCGGCCGACACTTCCGGGTTGAGCAGAATCTCACGGAGAGGCCAATAGGAGTCGGGAACCGATAGCTTACATCGTATTTTGTTTGCAAGAGTTCAAAGAGTTGGCGACTGTCGCGAGACTTCTCAATCTCGGCCGACACTTCCGGGTTGAGCAGAATCTCAAGCATCGGTTCCGTCTGGATCTGCAACTGCTTCAGCTGTCCGACCACTTCTGACCGCTTCGAGTAGAGATACTCCGGCGGCTTAACGCCCGGATTCAGCCGCTGATACACGTCCAGAGCGAAGTCCACCATATTTGTGTTCGACAGCAGTTCCAGTTTGCCCTCCAGCAGCTCATTCTCTTCGTATATCTGGTCCAGTGGTCAGTGAAAAGACAATTAGCCGAAGAACTAATGTTATTAATTGATAGACACGTGGCTTTGCATTTGGTGTCACAAACACAACACATTGTCAGCGATGGGAGTGTTTGTTTGGGAACCAATTGATTGCCACAATGGGCTCCAGACTTACCTCTTTGACGGACAAGAACTCGAGGAGTGGAAACACTAGATGTCTGTCCAGATATTTGCCCAAACGTGTGGTCAGATCCCATTCAGCCATTTTCGGTGTCAATTGGTGTGTGCTTTGAGTGCCGGACGTACTCTATGTCACGCAATGCACAGACAGTGAGCACATCATTACTGGACAAATGGCATCAAATCATCGCTTATGCAATAAATGAGTTTAAAACTGGTTTTAATTAATTAGAATTCAATGTAAAATTGGTTTAATATTAAATTAATACTAATGTATGTAAAACCGTATTATAATTAAAGACAAATACCACTTAAAATGCGGCAATAATTAGAAACAGAGAATTTGCTATTACAGGCGACTGACCGTACATTTGGTCCCATTTATAACAGCGCTTACTATTGAATATGTATTGAGTTTTTGTTGCATTCATTTTCAAAGGGATTTTTCAAAACCAGTTTTCTTAATACAAAACGTTTTTTGCCATTGAATTGACGAAAACAACAATCAATTCAATTGTCATTCACTTGTTCTCGTGTCCAACCAATCGCTGTCTTTCATTACCACTTCTCACAGCCGAGTGTCACGTGTGTTGACCATTGATTGTGTCCATCGTTGACACCGTTATTATCGTATCCATTGGTTGACAGCCATAGCGCGCAGACATCGAGGTCTTTGTCTGCATG